TGTCACAAATCGATCTTTATTTTTACAGTAGCGGTAAATGAAGTGAAAATGGTAATATATGGAGCAGAAAATTAATAATGATTTAACCGCCAACAAGTATATAATAAATATTAACACTTTTTTTTTAAATCATGAATTCAAAATTAAATCTAAAGTTTTAAAAAAGTGTTCTTTTCAATTTCGTGGCAGCGGTGGGAAAAATTTAGAAAATGCATTTTTTTCATCCATTTCTATTTTGTTTAATTTTAATTCCTAATTTTATGTTGTTTTGACATTTTAAGACATTTTGAATTATTTTGCACTTTAATTGGAACAAGTATGTAGAAGGGATGTATGTGAGACTAAATTTAACCTGCCGTAGACGTTTATTCAAAAACAAATTTCAGTCATTTAGAACCCATGACATGTAGCTGAATAAGGATTTTTGCATTTATTAGTTGTTTTTTGTTGTTGTTAATAAACATACTAAGTTATGGGTCTGCGGCAAGTGATTTAACTATAAAAAATATGAGAGTTTGAAATAATGAACAGTGTCAAGCTTTCAATCAATCGTCACCATTATGAAAGTAGCTAAATATAAATTTTTATTGATTATGTCAATTATTTACACATATTGGGTAAAAAAGAAAAAGTTGAAGAGAATAGGACTGAAATACCTCCAAAACTGCTGGGCCTGCCTTTGCTAAAAACTAGTCAGTACGTCCGCCTGCCAATAGGAATCAAATGTCTTTTGAATAATTCAAGTCGGTTGATCCGACCTCTCGAAATTGTTGATAAATATTGTATCTGAACATACATACATACAGACACACATACACATGCCACACATACATCCCTTTTCTCTAAGGTATGTCGAAATGTTTAGAAACCCCTGACACGTGAAGGCACAACTTGAAATATTTAAAAGTATTTTGATTCTTATTTATTCTGAAAAAATGGTTTTCGTGTGATCTAGTAGTTAAGGCAATGAACTTCCAAAAAGAGGTTGCAGGTCCAAAACCCACCTTGGATAACTTGATGTCAAGTAGTGTGACATCAGCTTATAGATAGTAATGTGTTTTCATATAAAATTTTCCGGGAGTTCAGTATCAATAAACTAATTTCTCACAAGAGAACCCTCAGGTTTTCTCTTCCGGGATTTGGTTGAAACTTTGCTTGGTGATAGAGTTGATAGTCAAACCGAACTCCATTAAATATTATAGGCTTATGAGAAGTAGTTTAATTATAAAAATTGTTAGTATTACAAAAATTGTAATAATTTATCACATAGAAGTAGGACCTTGATGAACCGTTTGGCTTTTTACCTATAAAAAAACATCCTTAAGTTAGCACAACAGCTCATAGGAATCACCAAGTGTTGATTGCTGTTAAAAATATATAAAAAAATCTGTAGTCAGTATCTTTATAAAATGATCTAAAAGTTCTCGATCTTTTACAGTTATCCCTTAATTGATACCGCACGAAGGAGTTGACGCCTGTAGCTGGTAGCAATAATATATTAGCAGGTGTCGCCTTTTAGTTTATTTTTTCATTTTTCATTATTCAATTTATTTTTGTTCACATATTTATTCATGGCGCTCGCGAAACTGTTATTCGAAACATGTAGCCTGTTAATTGCGATTTTTTAATTGCTTTCGCAATATCGAGGACCGAATAACAGATTAATTTTCTCACACGGGGGAATCGGGAATAAGATACAAATATATATGTATATATAAATATATATATATATATATATATATGTATATATATGTATATATATATATATATTAACAAAGTCTAGTAATCGGGCATAACATCAATAACTAGCTGTAAGTGGAATTCTGTCTTAAGGCAATTAGGGCATCGTGCCTTAAGGCAAATTGCTGGAACTTCCCGTACCAACAATTATTTTTTTTAAAAACGATTAACATTTTTGAAAAAAATTTACTTCGAAAAAAATTTATTTCGAAAAAATAAGATTTTTGAGAAACTATAAATTGGACAAAAAATTACTTTTTTTTGAAAAAAAAATTTTTTTAAAAAAAAAAATTTTTTTTTTAATTTTTTTTAAAAAAAAATTTTTTTTTTGAAAAAAAAATGTTTTCTTTATTTTGACATATTTTGGAAGATCTGAACTTGTTTTTCGAAGCAATCGTACTGCTTTAACTGCATAGAGACAAAATATAAAGCGCGTAAGCGCGGCGTCGCTGTCTAACGGATAAACATTGATACGGAACCCATAGGAAAATAAACAAAATTTATACTTATTGTTAAAATCTCTATAAAATATCTGAAAATTTGATGTGCATATGTCTAATGATCATTTTTGACCGCCAAATGGCATTTTTTTTTTACTTTTTTCGTTAGATCTCCGAAACCGCTAGACCTGCATTTATGAAAATTTGATCAATTTTTTACCTTGTCAATACAAGTAAAATGTTTTTTGAATTATAAAAATCGGACGCTCCGTTCTCTTAAAAACTGAGTTACCGTTTTCGGCACTTTTTGCCCCGTATCTCCGGAACGGCTAGACCTGCCTTTGCCAAAAACTAATCAGCACGTCTCCTTATCAATACGAATCGAATGTTTTTTGAATTATTCAAATCGGTTGATCCGTGTTCCCGAAATCGTCGACAAAAATTTGTATCCGCACATACATACACACACGCACACACACACACACACACACACACACACACACATACATCCATTTTTTCTAAGGTATGCCAAAATGTTCAGAAACCTCTGAAACGTAAAGATATATAAAAATTTTCATTTTCGATTTTTTTGCGATTACTATAACTTACCCTACGGGAAGTTAAAAACATGGATTTCTTTCAAAAATGTATTATACATCCATACGTTTCGGCTATAATCCTAGCCTTCATTCAGTGAAAACTAAAAATAAAATTAAAAACTAAAACAGTTGAATTGGGGAATATTAGTTAAAGTCAGAATGGCTTGAAACGTCCAGAAAACGAAATAAAATTAGCGAATCGGATTTTTTTTATGAAAACATAAACTTTTTCTTCGGGAAGTTAATAAAAAACGTCATGCAATGTACGTATAAATAAATAAATTATTGTCAATATTGCAGAATTATATTGACATATAACATATTAATAAAATGTAACTTATTGTCAACATTTTATGTAGTGAGTGTGAAATATTGAAGAACAGTACATAAAACGAATGTATATAATATATATATATATATATATATATATATATATATATATATATATATATATATAATTCTAATTAGAAAAGACAATCCCTCGTATATTAATTAAGATAAATAAATTTAAACAAATAAATAATAATTGCATTTGACAACAATAATGAGAAAAAATGCAAGCAACATTATTGCAACTTGTACGCGAGCATGGGATTCGTATCTGCATTTGCATTTGAATTTAACATTAATTAATTAAAAATTAACATTAAAATTAAAGCCAGACATTATTTATTTAGTTTCTTTATGAAGACATGCAATCGACGAGGAATCAGGGTTCCGTATCAGAAAGAAAAAATGATATATGATATTAGTTTGAAAATATATTTTCGTTCATGTTATACTTTTATTACCATTTAAAAAATACCTTATGTGATATTTATATCAATATATAATATTTTAACGAATTTTTAGTTTTTTTGTGAATTATTTATAGCTCTGAATCAAATCAAATATTAAATCTGAGACTCGTAAAGTTTGCCTAATTGAAGAGATGCTTTAAATTTTTTAGTCTTTATTATTATTTTTATTTTAACATCGAACGACTATGAAATCACGTCTATCAAATAAATTGTCTCGATTGTAATTTAATTTACTTAGGAGCAAGAACTTGATTAAACTTGCGTAGAATCTTGGTAAAAA